ACTCCAACTGGTAGTGTAAGATGTGATGTCCTGATGTGGGTGGCAGTTGCTAGAACAGGGACTGTTTCATTTCATTAGCAGTGAAGTGTGCTGTCAGCCGTCAGTGTTAGCCACGGGACAAGATGCAACCTAATCTGACTCTGAACATCCTGTCCTAGCCACCACTGAGCTCTTCCCCCTTAGGAGGTCGCCAGAAGAGTGTTGATTGGACAAGGAGAGAGAGCCCTCTTGAAGAGGAATGGTGCTAAAGTCAACCTGAAGCCTTCTGAAAATTCAGCGGCCCTAGAACGGTCCCAAATGCTATTTACTGCAAAGCAGAGCTCTGTATCCAGAGGGATTGTCCTGGTCTCCACTCTAGAGGTTTAGCTTTTAAAAAGCCTAAAGGATCCCTGGCTTATCTGTTGGGTGAGCGTAAGAGTCAGATCCCAAAGGATTACATGATATGATGGATGCTTCAGCTGCTTCACAGGAATTTAACAGAAATATAAGATTTCTCAGCTGAAGCAGAGTGTCTAAGAGACAAAACCTTTTAAAACCCCACTAATGTACAACCTCAAGCCACAACTGGATTCAATTACTGCGTGGAAAGAAAGGCATTTTCTTATAAAGTCACTCTGTGTCCGTGCCTGGCTGCGAGCTGGGTCAGCCATGACAAAGACAAGCCTGTGTGTTGTTTTTGGTTGTTTTTCCTTTCAAGCTCTTCCCCTGGCACTGCCAGGCCCCAGGCTGTTTGGATCGGTTGTGTGGAGGCCAGTTTACTTGTTTTGGCCTTCAGCCTTTCTGTTCAGCATTGATGATAGAAGAGTGGGCCTGTGTCCTGCATGGCCAGTGATGGGCTATCAGCATGGCTTGGTGGTGGCACCATGCCCAGGTGCCCCTTAGGAGGCACACAGTGTTTGTTTAGGAGGCACACAGTTTGTGAGGAAGGTGAACATTCTATGGAAGGAGCCCGGCAGAGATTGTAGGGGACTTGAGATGGGTCTGGGCACACGTGGGTTTGGGTGTTGCCATTCTTAAATATTAATACAAGTACCTAACATGTGGAGTGCTTACTCTCTCGAGGCCCTGTCCTAAAAGCTTTACATGTATTACTTCATTTAAGCCTCCCAACAATTCTGTGAAGCAAATGTTACTATTATACCCACTTTACAGATGAGGAAATTGAGGAACAGAAGGGTACAGAGTTTGCCGAAGGTCACACAGTAAGTAGCTGAGGGCCCATGTGCTTGATCACTCCATTGTCAAAGAGTATGGTACAGAAACTTTAAAACCATGACATGTGCATTTATGCAGTCACTAAATATTTTTAGTGTTCTTTATTCATTATTTTCCTTAACATAGCATATTATATTAATACCTGAAAGGCATATTTGTATTGTTATATAACATGTTTGAAATCACAAGAATGGAAAGACCCATTTGGTTCAGTCTGCCTTGGGGAAGATAAGAACATATGTACGGAAAGACCTAGCCAGTGCAATAAGGCAAGAGAAAGAAATAAAAGGCATCCACATAGGAAAGCAAATCAAACTATCTCTCTTGCTGACTATATGATTCTATACTTAGAAAACCCTAAAGACTCTGCCAAGAGGCTACTAGAACTGATCAATGATTCTAGTATGATTTCAGGATACAAAATTAATGTATAAAAATCAGTAGTATTTCTATACACTAAAATATCTAGACTGAGAATCAAATAAAAAACACAGTCCTATTTACAATAGCCATGAACAAAATGAAATACCTAGGAATACAGCTAACCAAGGAGATGAAAGATCTCTACAAGGAGAACTACAAAACGCTGCTGAAACAACTCAGAGATGACACCACTAAATGGGAAAACATTCCATGCGAATAGGTTGGAAGAATCAGTATCATTAAAATACCACTACTACCCAAAGCAATTTACAGATTCAAAGCTATTCCCATCAAACTACCATGTTATTCTTCACAGAGTTAGAAAAAACTATTCTAAAATTTGTATGGAACCCAAATAGCCAAAGCAATCCTAAGTAAAAAGAACAAAGCCAGAGGCATTACTCTACCTGACTTCAAACTATACTGAAAGACTAGAGTAACCAAAACAGCAGGATACCAGTACAAAAACAGACACATAGACCAATGGAACACAATAGAAAGCTCAGAAACAAAGCTGTACCCCTACAACCATCTGATCAACAAGGCTGACCAAAAACAAAAAAACAAACAAAAAAAGGAATAAAGGACTTTCTATTCAATAAATGATGCTGGGATAGCTGGCTAGCCATATGCAGAAGAATAAAACTAGACCCTTACTTTCACCATAAACAAAAGTTATCTCAAGATAGATTAAATATAAGACCTCAAGTTATAAAAATCCTAGAAGAAAACCTAGGAAATACCCTTCTCAACACTGACCTTGGCAAAGAATTTTTGGCTAAGCCCTTAAAAGCAATTGCAACAAAAAACAAAAATTGGCAAGTGGGACCTAATGAAAAGAAAGAGCTTCTGCACAGCAAAAGAAATCATCAACAGAGTAAGCAGACAACCTACAGAATGGGTTGCAAAATATTCTCAGACTATGCATCTGACAAAGGTCTAATATCTAGAATCCATAAAGAACTTAACAAGTAAAAACCAAATAACTCCATTAAAAATGGGCAAAGTACATGAACAGATACTTCTCAAAAGAAGACATACAAGTAGCCAAGAAATGTATGAAAAAAGTTCATCATCACTGATCATCAGAGAAATGCAAATCAAAACCACAATGAAAAACCATCTCATAACAGTCAGAATGGCTAATATTAAGCAGTAAAAAACAACAGATGTTCGTGAGGCTGTGGAGAAAAGAGAGTGCTTATACAGTGTTGATGAGAATGTAAACTAGTTCAGCCACTGTGGAAAGCAGTTTGGAGATTTCTCAAAGAACTTAAAACAGAGCTACCATTTGACCCAGCGATCCCATTATTGGGTATCTACCCAAAGGAAAATAGATCATTATACCGAAAAGACACATGCAACTGTATGTTCATCACAGCAAAGACATGGAAACAACATAGGTGCCCATCAGAAGCGGATTGGATAAAGAAAATGTGGTGCATATAAACCATGGAATACTATACTGCCATAAAAAAGAATGAACCATGTCCTTTGCAGCAACATGGGTGGAGCTGGAGGCCATAATCCTAAATGAATTAATGCTGGAACAGAAAACCAAATACCCATGTCCTCACTTACAAGTGGGAGCTAAACATTGAGCACACATGGTCGTAAACATGCAGACAACAGACGCCGTGGACTACTAGAGGGAGGAGTGAAGAAGCAAGATGGGGGTTGAAAAACTACCTATTGAGCACTATGCTCACTAACTAGGTGCAATGTGCCCATCTAACAAACTGGAACGTGTACCCCCTGCATCTAAAATAATGGTTGATATTTTAAAAAAACAATATATATAATCTTACATCTATTCTATGTAAAATACATGTATTTTAGGGCCTGGCACACGATAGTAATGACTCATATGGAAAGCCAGCAAGCTTTCATAAGATATTGCACACAAGGAAAGTTAAGAACCAGCTTGCTGGGCTGTCTGATCACCAACTCAGGCTTTCTGCATGAGCTTGGCTTTCTGATAGGAAAATCCAGGGCTCTGAGCCTGGAATGAACATATGCATGGCCCAAGCTCCACCAGCAGCTTAATTCACTGTGACAGTTATCAGTTAGTTGCCTCCCAGCTCCAAAGTCGCCCTTCATTACTTGCTCTGCGAGAATGGTGAGGGTAGGCTTTGTCAGTATGGAGTCCTGGAGGGACATTGTGAGAGAAAATGGTTGCTCTTCCTAGTTCCAGGGGGCTTGCTGTCTCAGGCTCTTGCAGCCTGCACAGCTTTCTCTGCAGCCCCAGGCAGCCAGCCGCCTGAGATGCCTTCCTGTGGACAGCTTCCCTGGGCACCTGCCTGTGAGTGACCTCTGCCAGATCCCCCTCAGGAAGCTTTGCAGTAGGGTGCAAAAAATGGGGTATTGCCCCTTGGATGGCTTCCTTGGAACCCGCTTGGGCATCTTTGCAGTGGATGCCTTCCTCAGCACTCCAGAGACAGGTTTCTGGAGAGCCTCAGCAGTGAGGCCCCTCATGAACTTTTCCCCCATCCTGAAAGCCCTGGCCAGACCCTCTCCCATGAGGCCTGGATCTCAGCTCTTCCTTGAATGCTCTGTCTCAGTCCTAGGGGAGAAAGCTGCTGTCTGTATCTGCTATTCCTATATTCTTTAGAGCTCTCTTTACCGGTTACTAGCCAATCTTTCATCACTCCAATCCCCTGTTACTAATCTGTTATAGTTAACTTTTCTTGTAGAAATTACTGATTTGTCTCCTGATAAGAGTTTAGTACATTCACCATATTTTTTCAGTCCACCATTTAAAATAAAAATGTAGCTCCCTACATGAAAAAACCTGCAGGAATCATGGAAGCAACAAAAACAATATGAAAACACTTTCACCGTTAATTTACCAAGTTAGAAGTTTCCATATTCTCTTTCAGTTCTTGGCTCTCTGTTTAATTTTTCTGTATTTGTAACCTGCGTGCATAACTGAGTCTGCACTCTAAGTTTATGAGTTGACCTTAGTTTACGTAAGCAGTTTGATAGCCCGATAGTCCCCAAGTAGCCACTGGTCGCATAGTCCTTGCATTTGTGATCAGGCATGGCGATACAATATTCCATTTTCTTCCCGTGCTGAAATTTGCTAAGCTAGTTCCTGATTGTTGCATACATGGGTTGGTTCATGCTTTTCCATATTACAAAAAGCACAGATCAAAATATTTTTGTTCAAGTTGCATCAACCCCACCTAATTTATCGTCTTGTTTCTTCCTTTCTCGGTTCTCTAACAGCTGGGCTCACATATTTTCCCACTGGTAGACAAGAGATTATAGGAAAAGGGGTGAGGAATCCAGAGAGAATGTCTGCATAAGAAGGAGGGTGGAGATTTCTTACTGAACTAAAGGCTTCAAGAATCGGCAAATACCTGCTCAGTAAATATCTCCTGCCAGGAAAAGAACCAGTCTCAGAGGTGGAGGCAGAGAGGAATCATTGGTTGGAGAGGAGGAATTTAGAGTCGGGAAGCAAGGCCGTTCTGGAGATCAAGACTGTCTTTTCTTGAGTCTCTCATAGTGTAACCTGTGACTAATGCATTAGTCATACTGAGCACGTGGAAACTACACAATATACACTAGAAAAACATTTTAGTTCTCAAGAATAGCCTCAAAATCAGACAATGCCTGAAGTAATTGAGAGTGGGAAGCACATTGTACGAGTGATTACTGCTCTCTGACATTTGAAACCACCAATAACTCAATTGTTTCCTGAATTCCCAGAGGGTCAGGGAACATGAAAAAACCTTCTTTGTCCCTCAGTGGAGTAAATGTTAACCTCATGCTTAAATCCTTTTCTTTCTCACATAAAAGTGTTCCTGGTATGAAGCCCAGAAAGAAGCTTAAGCATAGCGCCCCCTGAATTGTTCATTTTCTTGTTCGTACATAATGCTTACCTGGAAATTCTCTATTTCACACTCATTCTTAAAAGGAATTTTGCTGAGTCTCCAAATGACTGTTTTCAAAATTTTCTTCCATGTTTCTGACTTGCAATCACTAGAAATTAAAACTGTGCTTTTCTTAAAGCTCTGTAAACTGAAGCTAGCAACTTAAACTTCGGGAGAAACAATAGCAACATATGTATGTATATGTGTGTCTCTCTCTATATATATGTACAACTTTTGTGCCTGCCTGCTGATGTATGGACTTCTCAGAAAGTCCACTTGAATACCCGATTCAAGTCACAATCCAGAAAAATCTGGATTGCAGTGGCAACCTGAAGATACTTGAGAGACTCTAGAAAAACTAGTCTATTGACTGCTCCGGGACATTCACCTTTGCTTTCCTTCTGTTTCCGTAGAAATGCCTCCTAATAAAGATCTGATTGCCTGCATCATATATAGTGGCCCACCCCGTCTACAATGCCACCTCCTAGAATGAGACACAGCTGTTTAACTGAACTGATCTATTCTCAGGACTAAGAGGCTCACTAAAGAAGATACGAGGATGATATATTTAAATTTGCTCTTTTCTGTTCATTCCAATTTGTCTTTCCATTTCTTTGTCTATCTCTAACAATCTCTAAACCAAATTTCTCCAAAGCTATTTGCTTGGCTTTTAATATGTGAATTTTTTTAAGTTTCAAAGTGATGACTGAAATATTTCACCCCAAAATATGGCTCCCTGGTATAGTGAGTATGTGAAATTCAATGCCCTTAGAGATCAACAAGCACTAGAAGAGACTTTTCCCCGTAAAGATAGGACTGACCCACCGAGGAGAACAGTTGCTCTTGTTAGCCTCCATTATCTCATTATCCATTACAGGAAAGAAGACCAAGAATGTAACACCAGTTCCTATACAACCCTTGGGATGCACACCTGTTACTATACAACCCTTGGCAGGCACACCTGAACAGAACCTTTTTTGAGATAACGACTATCTCCAAGGATCATTTAAATTCCAAGAACTACTTATGAGTTAATTTCTGCTCCCTGATCCAACCATTTTCCTTGGTGATCATTTATTGCCCCTCAATACAATTCTTCTCCTCCCCATTCACATAACGCATTCTACCCAGATTCAAGGCCCCATTCTTTCTGTAACCTCAAGACGGCATGTAAGCTGCTGTACCACATTGAGAAGATGGGTCTTCATTCTGAACGTCCCCATGTGTACACATTAAATAAGTTTGTATACCTTTTCCCCTATTTATTATTATTATTATTATTATTTTTGAGACAGAGACTCCCTCTGTCGCCTAGGCTGGAATGCAATGGCGTGATCTCGGCTCACTGCAGCCTCCACCTCCCAGGTTCAAGCGATTCTCCTGCCTCAGCCTCCTGAGTAGCTGGGATTACAGGTGCGCACCACACCTGGCGAATTTGTATATTTTTAGTAGAGATGGGGTTTCACCATGTTGGCCAGGCTGGTCTTGAACTCCTTACCTCAAATGATCCACCTGCCTCAGACTCCCAAAGTGCTGGGATTACTGGTGTGCACCACTGTGCCTGGCCATCTGTTCCCCTATTTTTTTTTTAAAGTAGTTTTGCTGCACATGCAATTCTCAGTTATTTTCTCTTATCACTTTGAAGATATTGTTCCACAATTGTCTAGTTTCTGTTGCTGTATAAAGGTATGTTGCAATAATCTAATTGTTGTTTCTTTGTAGATGATCTATCGTTTTTCTGCTTTAAGATCTTTTTGAGTTTAGCATTCTGCAGTTTTATTACTGCTTTTTGCAGACTGGGTGTAGACTTTTAAAAATTTATCCTGCATGGTATATGGTGTGCATCTGTAACTGCCTAGTAAGTTCTTCTTGCCTGCTGCCCAGATAGAGCCAATTTATCAAGACAGGAGAATTGCAATGGAGAAAGAGTTTAATTCATGCAGAGTTGGCTGAATGGAAGAGTTTAATACACATACAGCAAGCTAAATGGAAGACTGGAGTTTTATTATAACTCACATTAGCCTCCCTGAAACACAGTCTTGCAGGCGGGGGGCTAGGGAATGGGGAGTGCTGATTGGTTGGGTTGAGGATGAAATCACAGGGAGTCCAGGCTGTCCGCTTGCTCTGAGTCAGCTCTTGGATGGTGGCCACAAGACCAGAGGAGCCAGTTTACCAGTCTGGGTGGCGCCACTGGATCCATCAGAGTGCAGAGTCTGAAAAATATCCCAAACACCAATCTTAGGTTTTACAGTATTAATGTTATTCACAAAAGCAATTAAGGTTAGGAATCTTGTGCCCTCTGGCTATATAACTCCTGAGCCATAATTTCTAATCTTGTGGTTAATTTGTTAGTTTTACAAAGGCAGTCTGGTCCCCACGCAAGGAGGGGGTTTATTGCCGGGAGGGTTTGTTATCATCTTTGTTTCAAACTATAAACAAAATTCCTCCCAAAGTTAGTTCAGCCTATAACCAGGGAGGAAGAGGGGCAGGTTGGAGGTTAAATGCAGGCTGGAGTCAGGTCAGATCTCGTTCATGGTCATAATTTTCTCACTGTTGTAATTTTTGCAAGGGTGGTTTAACTTTCTGTATCTGGGAACCCATCTCTTATCAGTTCTGGAAATTCTCATTTATTATCTTTTTTAATATTGGTTTTTCATCTATTTTCTCTAGTCTTTTCTGCCACTCCTATTACATTAAATCTTATTCTATCCTCTATGTCTTAACCCCTCTTTTATGTTCTATGTTCCTGTCTCTTTGTGTTATATTCCAGGTAATTTCTTCAGATACATTAGTTAAATAATTCTCTTTTCATTTGTTTCTTATACACCGTTTAATTTGGTCATTGAGTTTTTAATGTCAACAATTATGTTTTTCATTTATAAATGTTTTACTTGGCTCTTTTCCAAATCTGCCTGGTCATATTTCATAGTATCTGAGTTACTTCCACACATTTATGATCTCATCTTGGATTTCTTTAAATATTTCCTATACAACCCTTGGTATGCACAATTTTGCATTTAAAATGCACTATTTTGCATTTAATAATTCTAATACCAAAGGCTTGGGAGTATACATTTGTTGTTTATTATTTTTGCTTTTTCTTTCATATGCTGGCTTATTCTCTTGCTGTTTGGTGGTGGTCTTTGATCCTGAATACATTGTGCTTGATCACTGGGGGTCTTGGGGGCCTAAATTGAAGTTATTTACTTCAGAAGAGGTTGTCACTTGCTTCTTCCATGGCCCAGAGGACTGGCTGAGCCTCCTTCAAGGGTCATGGTTTATAGTGGGAGACTTGAAGTTGGCTTTTGCACCTTGCAATGGGCTTGGGGCTCAGTGTCAGATTTTATCCCACACTTACCTTTTAGCTCTTTCCTGGATTTCAGCTCACTGCCATTGTTTCTTTGTTTGGAGAGTTTGTTTGCCATTGCTGCAAGCCCAGCAGTGCATTAAAAACATGTTGCCTCCAGAATGTGGTAGAATTATAGCAGGAGGCCTTCAGAGGGTCAGTTTTGTCAGAAAAGTGAGAATGGATGGCAGGTGTTCGTAATGTTCAAGGCATATGAACACAACAGCAAGAATTAGACAGGCACAAGTAGGTGTAGCCCACCCTTCGAAACCTTAGGAACAATAAGACATAGACATAGGAAAGAACTAGAGCACATTTCAAAGCTCTCTCTGTCTCTCTTTCTCTGTCTACATCTGTCTATCTATGTCTATATCTACAGCTGTATCATCTAAATGTCCTATACGTAATACAAAGGTAGAGATGGGTGAAGAACTGATATCCAGAGTAAGCGTAGGATTTCCTTTAAAGGCCTGAAGCTGGTACTCAGGGTGGAGGAAACAGCATGAACAGAGGTGCTGGGAGGGAATAAGTGTGGGGTCATCTCTGTGTCTCTGTTTATAACAAGGGCCTTGCCTCACTATTATCCTTCTGGCTTCATAATTGCAGAATTTAACTAGTAATTTTGTGTACAAATATCCCTTTTGAGAGACTCCTATAATTTCCTTATTTACAATATGGATGCCCATTAGAGTCCTCATAGTCTTATCAGGTGGCTTTTACATGTGGACAATGTATGGACTGTATTATTTACTCCTTTCATGATCATTGTAGCTAGGCGTGCTGAAATCAATCAAGCAACAGCGTCTCAGAGAGATGCACCTTGTTTCCTACTTTTGCATGCAAAATTGCTGTTTTTTCCTTTCGTTGTCCACTTATTGAGGTGAGGTTTGAGAGTTCTGGTTTCTGTTTTTTAACACTGAAATCACCGCTGACTTGTCCATCAAGTCAGCAAAGTCTTTCCTTGGTACAGCAAAGTCTGTCTGGCTGAACCTCCATCTGGGCCTGTGGCATTCTACTGAACTTTGTAGTTTTCTCTATTCTTCAAAGCATAACTATCTGAAACAGGGTCTACTTCTGGGTTGTAAATTAGTTGTAGAAAATCTGGGCTTTGAACAAAAACCACATTTGAAGGCACATGTCTTCTTTTTTTATTGGCTTTTGCTCTAAAAAGCAAAGGCTGAAAAACAGCTGTTAGCTGTTTATACAGTTTTTTTTTTTTAAGTGTTAGACAATAGCTGTTTTCTTC